CCTTCCTCTTCTTCTTCACACCATCGTCGCTATCACTGTCAGAATCAGACAATCATTCGCAGAAGCATCGCCATCACTTGAAGAATCCGATGAGCTGCTATTGCTCTTTGAGCGCCTGCGTTTGCTCTTCTTTGACCTCCTTCCTCGTACAGGAATCGGGTCGTCGCTGTCCGAATCCAACGCATCTTCCCCCAACACCCTCCGTGCTGCTTTGACGACGTTTTCCACTGATGGCATAACCTTCACATCTCTGGCAGCATCGGTCATGTCGAGTCGTTGCTTAATCAACTTCCTCGTCGCCTTGGGCAGGCCATTCCAGAAGTACCGATTACTGTCCAGTGTGCTGATCTTGTTCTTGGCAACTAGGAACTTCGCCATTGGCTTGAAATGTGAGTAATACTTCATAAAACGTTCCTCCGTGTTGATGCGTTTTTCAGCTGTCGCCTTCGTCAATTTCTCCAAGTCGCGCACAGTGTATGCCTCGCCTTCCTCGGCACCCGGATACTGCTCCAAAACCTCCTTTTTGAAAGCAGCCCAATCCTTCGGAGTTGCGCTGTAGGCGTCCAGAGACTTCCAAAACTTCCTCGTGCTCTTCTCAGCCACATACTTCAACACCCACTTCATCTTCTCCTCGTCCTTCAAGCTTGCTACCTTTGCCAACTCCTCAAAGTCTTCGAAAAATTCCAACAGCTCCTCTACCTTCCCTTTCTAGTCCGGGCTCTTCTTTGACCCAGGGGTGGGCATCTTGCTAGGGTCTGATGACATCGTGTTTATGGAAACCACGTTCGCAGCGGCTGATTGAGTGAGTATATGCGCTTCGGATGACTGATCTGACTGATTTTCTTGCGTCTGCAAAGTTTTTGCGGGGTTTCGTCTACCTGCCCTTGGTGGATTTTTGTGTATGTTGCTGGTAAGCTGCTCTTGAACGATCTCGTCGTCTTGTTCGTTGTAATCTGCTGATTCTTTGATGATACGATAGCCAACCTCGGCGATGTCTTCCTCGATGTCGGAAGCTGGTGGCACTCGTCCTGGTACTCCTTTTCTCGGTGGTAGTACCCTAGAACGGCCAACCTCGTTCTTCTGACGACGGGATTTTGACGTGGCGTTTGACTTCGGTAGAACGGTATTGGGATGTACGGGATGAGGATCAGCCGTTTTGGCTTATCCCCTCGCGGTGGGCTCCAAGTGAATGACAGTAAGTCGGTATGAGTTCGGATGGATAAAGGCCAAGGCTGTATGATACACGGAATGTAGAATAAGTGAAGTCTCGATGCATGAATCCGAAAGCTAAGTCCTAGGCGAGACGCGTCACAGATCATGTGATCGTGCAGTCACCGTAAACCAACGTCGCATCGTAGCCAACCTCTCCCTCCTACATCACACTCAAACCTCCTCCAACTCCGTCACCTTCACTACCTTCCTGCCACGAGGGTAATAAGGAATCAACCGAAACGCAGCATACTACAACTACGACCACAATGCTGGAGATGAGGCGGGTGGAGATGTTAGACCTGGAGAGTAGCGAGGAGGAGAGTGATGAGAGTGATAGCGAGTCGAGCAATGAGGAATGGGCGAGAAGGAAAGCAAGGAAGAAGAAGGATCAGAGACAAGCTAGGAGGAGGAAGGACAGTGATGAGAGCAATGAGGATAGCGAGGATGAGAAGAGGAAGAAGGAGAAAGCAAGACGACGATGGAGGAAGCAGGAAAGCGATAGTGATGACGAGTGCCGACGGAGGAAAAAGAAGAAGACGAACAAGAAAACTAAAAAGAGGATGGATACCGACGACAGTGACGAGAGCAGTTCAGAAGACGAGAGATCGAGGAAGAAGGCATCGAGGAAAAAGCGCAAGTAGCTTCCAATCTCTTCGCGTTTCCCTTTTTTTGCTTTTCTTCGCAATGTTCGCAACCAGGGATGGTTGATTTTCAAAGTCAGGGGGAGATGTAGGAGAGAGAGGTAGGCTACGATGCGATTACGGTCCCACTCTGTGATTAGATTAGATAAGGACACAGTACTTACGCGTAGCCACTTGTCTCTTTGTTCTCCAGCTCACTCTTGTACGACGACAGAGGCAACGACGCACATTAGCATTACGGTCCCTAACGAGAGGCTACAAGACATTTCCCTCACACGATCCGACCCCATACTCATCAGCATCCTTTCATAAGATTGGTGAGCGCGTTCCATCGATACTAGTCCTCTCCATAGCGCTAAATTCGACGCGGCTTCCCTCATCCTCGGACTGATTACGATACTACACGAGGGCTTCGTGATATACATCCATGATGCCGCGCACCTAATTCTTAATGTTTCAACCAGCTACACCCGGAGATATTCGACATTAATATTGCAGCATCATCGATGAACGGTGTCGCTTCATAGCCCTCTTCAACACATCTAAGCATGAGGTGGCCTTATCCTCCTACATCTCCACCGGCCTAGAAATCATGAAATCGTCTGTGTCTGTCAAGCGACCAGAGAGTTAGGAGAATGCGATCGGGCAATGCTTGTTCGTCCTTGACTATATCATGGCCGTCTGGTCCGGGCTTGTCTCCCACATTCAACATTTTTCTCGGTCATTCGCATCGGATTACACCTCTCCACTTTCATGGACCCGGACCGTTTAAAGCTTGGCCGTTGTCATTTTCGTTTTCGACGTGGTCCGCTTCCAGAAAGGGCTCATCTTAGTACAAGAGGTAAGTATGATACCTTTAGATTTGAGCGTTAGAGAAAGACATATTTTGCATGATCAAGTAAATTAGGAATTTGGATATCGGAATACATATTCATGCGCCCTGGAGGATGCGTTCGCGATACAGAAGTGTTTGTAGAATTGCTCAGAAATTCGACATTGAGGCCACGGCAAGCAGCTGTTTACTCATTGCGTATTTTGGGACCTGGAAAATATACTACTGTGTTCGCATTCCACCCATATCTCCCTTGGGTCCCAAGGTCACTTCGCAACCTTTGGGACACGGCGCGGGGGAGTTGCAGTGGAGTGCTGCCGTGGCGGGCCGCTCATCCCGAGCAAGGTACAACGGTGCGGGTTACAGCAGTGGCTGTCTGGTGACCACTTCGTCGTTCCGGGTCATCCTCTCTATAAAGCCTCTGGCAACAATGCAAGCTCCGTCTCTTTCTCGCCATTCCTCAACTACGTTTCCTTTTTCATAAAGGCCTCGACTATCAGATTTGACCGCGCAACATGGTTAAGATCACCGGCTACGAGACCCATGGTCAGATTTTCGTTGTCTCGTTAGACGTGGGCGAGGTGCTGACGCTGCCACGTACGCAGATGTACGCTTCCCGACGTCTCTCACTGGAGACGGGACGGATGCCATGTAAGCCTTGCGTTGCTCGAGCCAAATAGATCTCACAATTGGAGTCGCATCGCCAGGAATACGGACTGCGACTACTCCTCCGCATACGTTGTGTTGAAGACCGAATCAGACCTTGTTGGCTATGGGATGACGTTCACGATCGGCCGCGGTAATGATATCGTAAATATCGACATCAATTTCGTTGCATCAGTGCTGCGGTCTAATCGTGGGGTGCAGGTGTGTTCAGCGATCAAGGAGGTCGCCAACAGGCTTGTAGGAAAGGACACCGAAGTGCTGTTCGCAGACATGGGCAAGACGTGGGACTTCATGATGGCGGACCCTCAGTTGCGGTGGTGAGTCTCGGTTGCCTCTGTACCTGGTGGTGTCTGAAGGGTGTACGTATAGGATTGGACCTGAAAAGGGAGTGATCCACATCGCGTCCGGTGCGGTGAACAACGCTCTCTGGGATTTGTACGCTCGTTCGCGTAAGAAACCCCTATGGAAACTTGTGGTCGACTTCACGCCTGTACGTGGAATGTTCTCCTCACAGAGAGGCGTCGTTCACGAGGAGATAATACTCTCAGGAAGAGCTAGTGAGGTCAGCAGCGTTCCGATATATCTCAGACGCGGTTACGAAAGAAGAAGCACTTGCGATGCTGAAGGAAAAGGAGGCTGGGAAGAAAGAACGCGAGGAGAAAGTTCGAGAGCTCGGGTGAGTACTTGCATTCATTGGCTAACGATATGCGGAGTCACCATTCTGCAGCTATCCTGCATATGTCACATCCGCGGGTTGGCTGGGTGAGTTGACAGGCTGAATCTACGACTGAAACCCATCTAGCTGACCATTTTCGAAGGCTATACCGATGAAAAGGTTGCTCGTCTTACCAAAGAAGCCGTGCAAGCGGGTTTCAACCACTTCAAGATGAAGGTCGGTGCAGACCAAGCGGACGACCTTCGCCGTGGCAAGTTGATCCGTTCGATCATCGACGACCCGCAGTACCTTCCGCCCGGACTCAAGCCTCGTGATCCCGACAGCGAGGAGTTGAAGGGCAAGAACGCAGGTCCGACTGGGGCGGTGTTAATGATCGACGCGAACCAGGTGTGGGATGTCCAACAGGCGATCGATTACGTGAAAGGTCTCGAGGAAATCAAACCCTGGTACGAGCGCTCTTTAGGATATATTTACCTTAAACGATTGCTCAATGATGAAACGCTGATCTGCAGGTTCATCGAGGAGCCAACTGCGCCAGATGACATCCTCGGACATGCAGCTGTCCGCAAGGCGCTGAAGCCCCATGGGATCGGCGTTGCCACCGGCGAACATGCACACAACCGCATGACCTTCAAGCAACTCTTGCAAGCGGAGGCCATCGACGTTGTTCAGATAGATTCCTGTCGGTTGGCTGGGGTGAGCGAGGTCCTCAGCGTACTGCTCATGGCTGCAAAGTGAGTCCTACTTCGCTTTGTGGGTCGGAACTGGGGATCGACATGGAGACTGTAGATTTGGTGTGCCGGTATGCCCGCATGCTGGCGGTGTAGGACTCTGCGAATACGTCATCCATCTCAGGTAATTGTTCCTCGATGCCAGGTATGGATGGTTTTGACTTCGATCTGTAGCCTAATAGACTACATCGCCGTATCTGGCACGATGGAGCGGAACGTGCTCGAGTTCGTCGATCATCTCCACGAGCACTTTGTCACCCCGTGTTCCATCAACTCCCGAGGGAGATACAACGTGCCTACGAACCCCAACGAGGGCTATAGGTGAGCTAATCTCTCTATTATGTGGGGTGTTGTTGTTCGGTGCTGTAGCGAGGCAAAGCAACGTCGGCTTTGTTCCCGCGTCTTTGTTTTCTCGGCTCTGAGTGCACAAGAACCCGGCGCTAATGGTTTATTTGTCAGCATTGAGATGCACAAGTCGAGCATCGCTGAGTATGAATGGCCCGATGGGACATATTGGCAGAGCAAGAAAGGCGTCTGAAGGCAACTGGACCTGTACAAGTGCTCAATACCGCTGGAACAGAAATCGGGACTTTCTTCGAACATTTCTCATGCCTGTGCGCATAACAATCGAAATCCTTTGTCCAAATGTGCTTTTAGCTCGGGCAGACGGAAATTTGGAAGATTTACGTCGGTGCCCTGAATCGCTTGGTGTCGAGATAAAAGTTGGTTGAGGATGGCCTCGGACGAAGTGTGGGATTGACTCGTCTGTCTCAATTTGGATTTGGAGGAGGCAATGAAGTGCCTACCGGGCTCAAACCAGAACACATCTCGCCCTAAAGTTGGTAATGACTGAGCGACGGGCGAAAAAGTTTGGTAGGCCTTATCATCTGGATAGAAGTCGTCCTTTTTATCCTGATAGAGATAAATTTCATGTTCCTCCGAGGAGGCGTGGGCGCAAGGATCTCATTTGAAGTTACTGGTCAAACAAGGCTTCTCGCGCATTGTGCGCACTTCAACGCTGGATAGCTTCTGATTCAATCTAAGAGGAGAGGCTGCGCATAGCATAAATGCAATGAGTGCTCTCGTCAATCGAATCTTAGCTGTCTCAGCTCGACAAACCATCCGTGTTGGTCTGTGACATTTTCTGAAAATAAGGAAGATGAACAACCACATGTCAAAATTCAAGGTTTTGTTACATCTGAAGTACCGTCCGGTGCACTCAGATAGACAGGCAGCGTCGTCTTTTGATATTTCCCTACAGTCCCTAGATTGATAAAGTCGACCGCGGAGAAATTGGGGGCTTGATTCAGACATCAATTGGTGCTTTTAAGGATCCTCTAGTGTCTCGAAATTGACGATCGATGACAAGGGCTGGTACCGATCTGTTCAACTACGAGAGAATTGTATTCAAAAATGTTGCGGATGTAAGCTTCGAACTAAGTTGCATATTTACATATCGTGATAAACAGCGGCGATGCTTGACAGTGAGCTGATAATCCCCAGACAGTTGTTGTGCCGTACACGTTGAAACGAGCCACCTGTATCCCATGTTCGATGCTGCGCCGTTCATCGAACTTGTCGAAGTTTTCCATCGCTTGTGTGACATTCCTCCGACTTCTATCGGTCATAGAATGCGCTGATATCCTCCGCCGTGGTAGGACAAAAAAGCCTGGCTATGCGAGAAGACGATGTGGGCATAGCGGAGACGCTTGCAAGCGATCCGTTGGCAATTGTTCCGCTTCCTTGTCTGATGAGATGGGCGGCTAAGCCGGAAATAGCTCAAGATTAAATCTTATCCTCAATGATGAACACCTTGGTCGTCGGAAACGCAGGAGACGAAGTATGCGCCTACACCCCTCGACGTATACTTCAAGGTCGCTGTTGAGGTTCCCGAAAGACGCTGCAAGGATTGAAGGCTTTTTGTATTTGCCATTGCTTGGCTCTGTGGTCTGTGCAGGGGAGCTCGGTGTGACCGTGACAATTTCGTTGTTGAACTGATGTGGATGGTGGGGGAATCAACAGTTCCTGTCTTTCGATTCTATTTCAACTGACAAAAGGCTACCTGCTGGCTTATCTTTCAAACGTCGTTGCTAATGGCTGTTATCATTTCTGTCGTGTCAACCCCGAACCGGTCTGCACCAAGCGAGTCGCGACGACAGGCGCGCCTTGTAAGTTGCTTTTGTTGTTTTCATCATGACTAGGTCAGTGTTGTGTCAAATGTTAAGCTGTTCTCTATTGCTAAGTGCCCACGTCTCCTGGTGCAGACAACAGCCCCTTGTGCTCTTGTTCCCGACCGACGCGCGACCTTTTGTCCCGTCGCCATGATGGAGGGCGGAGCGCATAGACTTTGAAGATCGTATAAGAAGGTATACATGAAGATCGCTCTGATTCATTACCGCTCCTGCATTCGACTGGTCTGGATACCGATCCCTTTCGTGTCTCGTTTGCTTCTGCTTGCTCTTTGTCACGACTCTCTTGCCTCGTTCCCCACGCCGGCCTTCGTTCAAAATGCCTCACCGGGCACCCGCTTTGATACCTCAAATTAGCTATGCCTCCTACTCGTATGCGTCTTCTCCACGACAACAAGTCGCCCAAAGTCACTCCGACCGAGCTTCCTACACCGACGATCTCCTCGCGCTCAGAGTCCATCTGCGGAGCCTCCTGAAACGGGGACAAATCTCGAAACCAGTCGGGTTTCCCTTCCACAGCGTCCCCGGGAGCAAGGGCCGACCTTATGAAATCTCGTACAATTCGTATGAGTTTTCCGAATACTTGTATTTGGACCCCCGCGCAAAGCCTCATTGTGCTACATTCTCTTATGCTGCGCCGAATTCCGCCTCAAGGATGATGACCTGGAGAATAAGTGTCCCTGCACGAGAATCTATATATCATCGACATGCTCGAGGTATGTTTCATGCTGCAACACAAGCCAGTACCTTAACTCATGGATCAACTCTCATAGGACAACTTGAAATTGCCCACGTGGAAGTCGATCCCCTGGTCATGGAGACACCCTTTGGCTTTAGACTCATGACGGAACCCCATATCTTGCTCGAGGCACTCGCGATATCAGTAGAACTCGGCATCCTCATCAACATCCAAATTGCAAACTCGCGGACACCCCACCGGCATCACACGAAACGGGGCATATACTACGAACCAGGCGAGGTCGTTTTCATCGCTGTCGACAACAACGGTCGTTCTGAAGTCGTCTCCGTCTTCGAACATGACGAGTACGTTTCATGACCGGACAACTTTCGATAATTTCCTGATCATCCGCTCAGAAACTAGAATGCTTACTGCATTCTCTTCTACGCGCACTCGCCCATGACGGCGAATGATGGACTGCTCTGTCCACATCATGATCCCCTACTCGGATCATTTCAGGATGAGGATTCTGGCAAGCGCTTGCCCGATTCTCATCTTACGAAACATTACGAACAAAACGAATCTTGACGACAAGACGAACCTGCCCTCGGAACATCAATCGGGACTCTTCATTTGTATCAGCACTCCACACACACTCATCCGCATTCTTAGCATTAGCATTTCCCTAGAAAGTCGCATCTGTTGTCCTGGTCGCATTGCTTTCTTCGTTTTCATCTCTATATTATACACTTGTGTAACCTTGCATTCGACCATGACTTATATTCTATTTATTCAGTACATTCGCCATCCTTCCCATGACCTCTAGATTAAGTGGATATCAAGGTCAACCCCGATTTCTGAACCTCCCACGACTGCGTGAATACCCCAGAGATCGAGAACAATTAGCGCCCATAATGTCGTCAGCGGTTCCAAGGACAAGAATGCAGCCTAATTGAGAGTGACGTTCATTCTTCCCTAAGGAATATCTTCCCGGCTCCTTGGATACGTTCTATTCTACCAAGACAAACTAATTATCTTTTCGGGGCACAGAAAATTTGAACCCATTGTCTTCCTGCTGCTCTGGACTCTATTGGATGGTATCAATACTTCACAAGCTTATATGACCAGCGACCGTTGGATGCTGAATCTTAGAGCGTTTCATGAGGAAACAAGCTGGTAGATACATTCGTCATAATTGAGCCGCGAGGTCGGCTGATGGATCCCGACTTGACAGGCGCCCACAAACGACGTTGAGTGGATGAGTAAGATCGAGAACGTGCCGACAGCAGGGACGACTGACACTCTAATTACAGCCCACGACCATCGATCGAATGAATGCCTATCGCCATCTTACTAGATTGTGGCCCCGATATAGCTGTGAATTTCTACCACAGAAGGTCCTTGAAGGGCCTTAAGGGTGAACTGATCCACAATTTTGTGGAGAAGAGTTGGTATCACTTCGAAAACCCTCTGCCTTCAAAATGGAAGACTAAGAGGGGCAAATGCCTCATCAATCTTTGATAATCTCTTCATTTACAACCCTCGTTCTGCGTGTAGAGGTAGATCTTTAGCGACATATCCAGTATAAATTGAAGGATCACTACTGGACCCGGAGTGGGGTTCGTGAAGCTTCGTCCGAATGTAATAACCGATAGCCCGTGCGAGGTCGGTGCAAAATTTCCGAGCAAGGCGAACAGGGGATGTCGTGGAAAGCTGTAGAATACCAAGCTTCAGGCGTAGAATCGAGGTCGACATCCAATTCTTCAAAGAGGGACCTTTAATCCTCCTAAAACTCGAGGAAACTCGACCTGATTTTACTAGTCCTATACCCGGACTTGGGGAAATTGATGAGAACCTTCAATCACTGGCAGCTGTCAGCTTTCGAACTCCTGGGAAACAAGGGTGCCTACATCAACTGTATAGGTCGAAAATAACATCTATCGGTTCAAAGTTGTGAGGAGGGTAATACCATGCTACTTACAGAGGTCAAGATCTGGCGCCGATAGCTTCGCACAAGAAAGCCAGAGAGGTAGGATTCTCAGCTTTGATGAGCGTAATTCAGAAAATTTAATTACTTTGCATGCCGTGTAAAATTGAACTTCAAAAATTAGGAGTAGAGTACTTAGCCGGTAGTGGTCTTCCTCAGAGCGCGATTAGATCACATCTAATCAGAAAATACCTTATCTTATCTTATCTCATGTATTCTTTCCCACGCCAACCCCAGTGAAAAGCTGCTCTGGCAGGATCTGGCGGAATCTGGGTGAGGATGGGAATTTTGGACAAAATCTGTCTTATTCTGGGCTTATCTGGCACACCGTTTTTATTTCCCCTGAACGGACCAGGCATTCCGACTTTCTCTCCGCTTTCCGAGGAAACCTCGCGACCATGGTCCGTGCGTCTCGACGCGTCGACGCGTCAAAGCGTAGACTTTTCTTATATAGCGGACTTCTCATTTTCGTCGCTTCGCCTGCTCTTTCTTCCCCCACCATCTCCACCCCTGCTCCGTCTGCCCTTCCTCCTCCCTCCCGGCCCTTCCGCCGGCACCGCGAGTCCTTTCACGACGGCTGCCCAATCGCCGTAGCGTCGGTTGTGGTCAATGTGGTACGAGATACGATATGAAGCCCTTGTTGCTCTTGTTGCTCCGTGACTTAGTATATTGTTGCATGTGGGCCCGCTGTCGCGCTGGCTTGGTGTGCACTCACAATCGGACTTGGATCAGGTGAGGATTCTATTGTGATTCTGATTCGCCTCCGAGTCCTGGCACTTGCTGGGTACTATCATCTGTACGTACTGCTCTCTTTGTTCAACCCACAATCTATTGCTGACGAGCATCTACGGGGACATTGGCTCAGACACCTCCCGGACTGACCCACAACGGAGATGATGCCTCGACCCCGCTGCCTTCATGCCTGATAAGGCGCTGTATCATTTGTCGACGGCGCGACGACGAGGTGAGTGGTCCTCGTGCGGGTGGTATGGCCTTGCTGACACCAGAACGTGAATTCGTTCAGTGGGACCATCTAACGTTGACGCGATCGATGTCAGGGACAGAGTAGAATGGGCGAATAGAGCGGTTAGAGCATGGGAGTAGATGCGAGTCGAGTCGAGAGGCGGCGAATGGGCCTGGGCTGCCAGTAAGTCATCCCCCCATTTGTTGAATTCGTACGTATCTCACTTGCTCCGCAGAGGCGCGGTTTCGTGGTGGAGAACAACGTCGCGGCATGGAGGAAGTCGAGGGCGGATAGGTATGTCAGGTCATCATTAATACTTTCATATGGGTGCTCGCACTTATGACGAGCCCGTGTAGGTCTGCCCGCAGACACTGGCATTTGGAGAGGTAAGTTTACCTCGGAACGAACTCATAATCCTGGCGTTGACTTGTTGGTCGCAGACAGGACTCACTCCGGAGTGCGGGTAAATGGGCTTTTGTTGCGAGATACCTTGAACGAGTAGGATATGGTAGACACGGAGGCAAATATGTAAATTACTGAAAAAATACGAAATTTTCAGAAAAATACAGAATTGACCAGAAGTGCAACGAAAGCGACCCGAGGAGCAGGTCAGGTATGTGACTGATATACCCAGATATGCCCAGATAAAAATCTGGAAAGCGGTCAAAACCTGGGAATATCTGGGCAGATCTGGGACGCAGAAGAACCCAGATATTATCCTGACCAACGCTGACCAGCACAGATTTTGGCCTATAACGTAGTGAGGTACGAGCGTAGGGTTAGGGTGCGGTCTATGCATCAGCGGTGGCAGTGTTAGGTGAGGAGAACCTCTTTCTCCTCGACTGCCACCTGCTGCCCACGCTGAGAGCAGTCCAGCGTTGCGGGCTTTTCTTTTCTCATCGTATCTACCAACACGCGCTGTATCTCTGCTGTTCACTCTACCTAAAGCAACTTCAGGCCACACATGCCGCCACGTATCACACAAGACCCGCACTTGGTGCAACCCCCCGACTTCGAGTCGGAACAATTCCGGGCGCTTTACGCCACCTTAGCCACCGCCGAGCGCACAGTGGACGCTATCATAGCCGACTCCCAAAATGCTTGGACCCAGAACAACGACGCGCAAAGAGTCGCGTGGAACGCCCAGGTCGAGCAAGACCACGCAGAAGAAGAGGAAGCTAGGGCAGCTCAGCGAAGAGGCAAGCTGAGAAGCGTGAGAGGGAGAACAAACGGCCCAAGATAAAATCCTTCACCCCGAACAAGACGGTCGGGAAGTTGTCATCTCGTCGACCTTCCCGCTATGCGATCCACAAGATCGAACAACTCGAGTACGTTGAGCTCTACTATTTCACCAAGGAGGCCTGTCTTGAGGCCGAGAGGACGGAATACTCAGTGGCGAGGGGCACTTTCACCCTGATGGCTGACGGAGAGAACGTGCTGGCAAAACCCGCCGCTGCGTACAAGCCATCCACAAAGGTCGTCCAGGATGAGAACCTCGAATGGCGCCAAATCATCAAGGCGAAGGACTACATGCTGGAGGCCATGGTGGACGCAGGCTGGCCCGAGGAACACGTCATGGCCCTTGGTGTATTCTTTCTCGAGCTCGACAAGCACCCAATCAGCGACCTAGAGGGGGGAGAAACCGCTGTTCTACTGTACCAGGCGCGCATCCGCCGTAGGTGGATGGAAGACCTCAAGAGCACCAATGACGAGGAAGTCTTCGACATCAGTGTTGTCAATGACAAACGGCTGGATGAAATGTACAGCGAGGTGCTCAACCTCCGTCAGGCCCAAGGCTTAACGGTCAGTCACCATTTCATTCACAAGCTGAGGGGCATGCAGCTGACAACATCTCACACCGCACTGTCATTAACCCACATCTCATCTTTGCGCCCCTGTGCTCATCATGCACACATGCCGCGCACCCTCACGCACCCCCTCCGCACCCATAACCTGCACCCATACCTCCGCACCCATAACCCGCACCCATACCTCCGCACCCATACCTTCTGCACCCATACCTCTGCACCCATAACCTGCACCCATAACTCGCACCCATAACCCGTGCCCGTAACCTACACCCACGCCCCGCATCCACGCGGCCCCATATCACACCCATGCTATGTGTCTATATGTCCTCTCCACCTATAATACGTATCTACTTCCCTATACCTACGAGCTTACTCCTACTCCTCTGCATTTCCTTTCATTACTCCATGACTCCGGCTCATTACCGTATGGTCTGCGATCGGTTATTCTTGTGTCACATAATTGCACATCCACATTTAATATTTAATGGTTAAATACTACACTGTACAACCCGGCTGGTCTCCTTGTACTGACATCCACTTGCTACCCACATTATCAGGCTCGAAGAACAGCTAGCCAGATCAAACCTCTCTAGAGGGATAAAACGTGACCGCTCCCTGTCCCCGTCCCCGGAGACGGAAGGAAAGCATCGTACTACTCAGGCCAAAAGCAAGCAGGCACCTCGCAGAGCAGCCCCGCTTCCACACTATGCCAAAAGACAGCGCCGCGAAGGAGTAGAGGCACTGAACCAGGTTTTTCAACAGGGTGCACCCGCAACGTCGACCCCCCTTTCGGCCTGCACCCTTTGCCTTGGTCGACAACCCCACAACATCTTCAAGTGCAACTCCAGCATGCTCTGGGACGGCTCACCAACCCATTGCAGGAGAAACGAAGCTGGTCGCTTGGTCAACCCAAAAGGAACCGTCATCTGCACCGACTGGCAGCGACCAGCAGGATGCTCCAGCACAACCCACGATTCCAAACACGAGTGCTCGGGATGCGGACAGGCCTCTCATGGAGCTCAGAAGTGCCCTCGAGCTCAAGCAGCATAATCCAGGAAGCCCATACAAAGCAGACGCATGGAGGTGGCATCTCGAGGCAACAGGCCTCATCCACCAATATCCAACCCTTCCGTCCGATTTTGAGCAAGGTTTTGATGTCGGAATTCCTGCTATCTCCAGAACCTTCGCACCTGCCAATAAATCATCAATCGACACCTTCTCCGAGGAATACAACCACAACATCCAAATTGAGTTCGAACGTGGGAGATACATTGGGCCAGCTTCCTGTGCGGAGGTTGAAGCCCTCCTGGGTCCCTTCCAGACTTCTCCGCTCTCTGTCATTCCCAAGCCTGCTAAACCGGGCAAATTTCGCCTCATACAAAACCTCTCCTACCCTCTCAAAGCCATTGACGGCGTCACTTCCATCAACAGCGGCATCAACTCAAACCAGTTCCCGTGCACCTGGGGAACCTTCTCCGTCATCTGCCTTCTCATCTCGCGGCTTCCCCCAGGCTCACAAGCAGCAGTTAGAGACGTCAAGGAAGCCTATCGAACCATTCCCATCAAGCCCTCTCAATGGCCAGGATTGGTTGTACGACTGCGCGGTGAAGACCGTTTTGCAATTGATACCAGGAACTGCTTTGGACTTGCCTCGGGGGCAGGCTCCTATGGGATCGTTGGTGATGCTGGTGCACAGGTCATGCGAGCCAATGGAATCGGGCCTCTCTCGAAGTGGGTCGATGATCATCTCTTTTGCCGCATCCTCAAACATCACTTACCTGCTTACAATGACTTGCGCAGACATTGGGCTGAGGACATCAGGAAAAATGGAGGCCGCATCTGGTTCCGAGGCAGGGCAATGCCCAATGGAAAACT